TAAATATATATATATATATTATATATATATATATATATAATATATATATAAATATAAAATATATAAATTAATAAATTATATATAATATATATATATAATATATATATATATATATATATTTATATATTTTATATATATATATATATAATATATATATATATATATATAATTATATATATATAAATATATATAATATAAATATAAAATTATATATATATATATATATAAATAAATATAAATATAATATATATATTATATATATATATATAATATATATATAATATAATATATATATATATAATATATAATATATATAATATAATTTATAATATATATATAATAATATATAATATATAATTATAAATATATATTATATAATAATATATATATATATATAATAAAATAATAATTATATATATATATATATATATACACGTATATACATGTATTATGGTGTTTCAGGAGGTTAGTAATGTACAGTACTTGATAGTTTTGTCTCGACTGACTTAGTGTTCACACCTGTGTAATGTATTTTTCAAAGCTGAAAATTTTTGTGTGTGTGTGTGTATGTAATATATATATATATATATATATATATATATATATATATATATATATATATATATATATATATATATTATACAAAAATTGCGAATGATAAAAAATACAAAACAATCACAGGGGGAGTTGAATGATAGGTATCATTCAACTCCCATTGTGGTTTTGCATATGTCTATATAATTTATATATATCATAGGTCAGTTTATATTTATTTAATATTACATAAAATCAATATTTTATGCTTAGATTGGATTTTGCAGAGTTATGGCAAAAACATATTTTCACTCTGCTTAATCAGCAGAAAACGCCCATGCTTTTTAGGCCAAACTCGCCTGTTCAACTTATTTGGCATGACATATACAGTGGACCCTCGACCAACGATGGCATCGATTAACGATAAATCAGACTAGCGATACATTTTAACGCACAATTTTTGCCTCGACTAGCGCTAAAAAACTCGACCAACAATATTCGTTCCTTCTGAGACACGTCCACTTCTGGCCAGTGTTTACAAGCCAGCCAGCCACCGCGGTCGCTTCCAAGCATACAATCGGAACATTTCATATTATCACAGCCTTTGTAGTGATTGCACCTGCAAAATAAGTCACCATGGGCCCCAAGACGCTTCTAGTGCCGACCATACAGCAAAAAGGGTGAGAATAACTATGGATATGAAGACAGAGATCATTGCTAAGTATGAAAGTGGAGTGCGTGTCTCCGAGCTGGCCAGGTTGTACACAAAACCCCAATCAACCATCGCTACTATTGTGGGCAAGAAAACGGCAATCAAGGAAGCTGTTCTTGCCAAAGGTGCAACTATGTTTTTCGAAACCGAGATCGCAAGTACTCGAAGATGTTGAGAGACTGTTATTGGTGTGGATAAACGAAAAACAGATAGCAGGAGACAGCATCTCTCAAGCGATCATATGTGAAAAGGCTAGGAAGTTGCATGACGATTTAATTAAAAAAATGCCAGCAACTAGTGGTGATGTGAGTGAATTTAAGGCCAGCAAAGGTTGGTTTGAGAGATTTAAAGGGAAGGGAAGTGACCCCAGAAAAGGACTTGCCACCTCAAGTCCTAATGGAAGGAGATTCCCCTTCTAAACACTAAGACCATCAACACTCTCCCCTCCTCTCATCCTATCAATCATCACCACATCTTCAATAAAGGTAAGTGTCATGTAACTGTGCATGTCTTCTTCAGTTTGTGTGTATTAAAATTAATATTTTCATGTGGTAAAAACAATTTTTTTCATACTTTGGGGTGTCCTACACGGATTAATTTGATTTCCATTATTTCTTATGGGGAAAATTAACTTGACTAACGATAATTTTGACTAACGATGAGCTCTCAGGAACGGATTAATAGCGTTAGTCGAGGGTCCACTGTATATATATATATATAATATATATATATATATAATATTAAATATATATATATATATAAATATATATATATATAATATATATAATATATATATAAAAATATATAAATATATATAATATATATATATATATAAAAATATATAAATATATATAATATATATATATATAATATATATATCGTATGTGTGTATGCATGGTGTGTATGCATGGTGTTCCGAAGGCTAAAGTTAACTTTGTATTTAAGAAAAGATAAAGTATAAAGTGCTAATTCAGACAGGAGAAACTTCTGAAATATCTACTACAGTAGTTGTAAACATGAATCTTGAACAAAGAAACTAATATAGTACGGTATTCTGATTTTGTATGAATACACGCTAATAATGTGTCTTTAAATAACAGAAATTCCTACCAACTGCCAAGGGCTATAGTTGTGATTGGTCTGTAGTGTTTTTGATGCAGATCATTTACATATTCAGAGTTAAAAAAAAAAAAAATCATTGATGAGGAAATATGGAGAGATTATCAAAGCTCATGATCAGGTGGATCAAAGGCATTCCTGGTTTGACTTAAAAATATACATGCAAATTGAACTAACAACTATTAGAAAATAAAAAAATTAACATTATCAACAACATAAAATAGAAAAAGCAAGGTAGTTTCTGTGAGGCCAATATCTCCACCAAAAGATTGACAAAGGTTTAATATTAATACCTGTATACAATATTCAGTTATACAACAATATTAAATGTTCATTTCACTGTGGTCAGCAAAATTTCTGTACGGTTCCCTGTCCTCTGAAGAAATCTGATTGTCTATAGCTGATCCACTTTAAATAACAGTGGGAATATTGGCCAGGGAGTTGTGGGATAGAAAGATGACAGCTTAGTGAAGAAAGCCACTACACTGAAGGCTGTGGCCTGAGGCAACATGAGGTAGTGCAAGGAAAAAAACAATGATAAACATGCATGTCAAACATTTCACTCTTACAGATAGCTGTCTGCATTTTTATTTAAAAGTTAAGTTTTTAAGTCATTCTTTTTGTTTACATTCTCTGCACTACCTCACATTACCTTGCATGGTTATTCTAAGTCACTATAACAAACTTAAAAAAAAGTAAAATATTCCTAAAAACAATTGCAATAGTACAAATAATTAAAATTGCAGTTTTGCTTCACACCACTGAACATATTTATGACAGAAACAGGCTATATAACCTAGAAAATAATATATTAAGAAAAGTAAGAACCTATATACATCCAACTTTACAGCTTATTTCTACTAATGCCCTGTACCCCTTATAGCCCACCACCGACCAGTGATCACTCAAGAACTATGTCGGCTTTCTTAGTTACCACAGAATTTCTCCTACCACAAACTATGTTAAGGCATTTTTTTGTTACCTACTAAAGCAAGTGTGAATCCAAACAGGCCTTCCCCTCCCCCTAGAAACCCATCATCACTGGTCGATTAGTGGCTTTATACTGTAAATGAGAAACTTAGCATGATCCCCAGCTAGAAGATACATTATAGCCCTCAGTTAACATGTCCTGCTAAATTACTGAGAAGAAACACAGAATTGTAACATTCGCCATGTTCCCTGAAGTTCAATGCAAAAAGGACACGTTTTTAACACAACCCTTGTGAAGGATTTTTGTCAATACGACCCCTTAATAGATACATTTTTTTCAGTTTTAATATTACTGTAAATTGAAAATTCTGTCCTATTAATGGATCATTTTTACTCATCACTTCACATTTATTTACAATCTCCTTAGTTCTGCCAACGGATATGTTGATAATAATTCACATTAGGGACAGAGAGAGAAGATGCAATGCTAAAATCTAAATTTGTGTTTACATAAAAAGTCACCAGCTTGGACATCTCAAACAGTCAAGTCTCAAGTAGTCATCACTAACTAGCACGTCTTTTATAATCCTAATAATGCTACGGCAATCCTGTTTTTAATGACATTGAAACAAATTATTAATGTTGATTTGGATTAGTCAAACATCAGAAAACCCTCACAGATCAGCGACAGCACACCACCACTTGATGTAGAGAGATGTGCTGTCAACGGCCTATGAGGTATACACATCATGTGGGACTGATGAGATCAGCAAACATCTCTCTCTAACACACTGATCAAAAGGCTCATACTCCTTGCATAACATCATCTCAATACCATACTCTTATTAGTCGTACCAGAATATTCTTCCACATGATTTTACAAAGCACACAGTAAAAGGAAAGAAAAAAGTCTATATAGCCTCACCCTCAAAAGCTTTAGTTCTGCCACCTGACACAAGGTGTAACTTTTGCAAGTGGTCATTCCCTATGGAGACTAGCTGACTGGGCAGCTTTTCTTGCACTACACTCGAGTGCATTTAAGGAAAATAAGATGCAATCAAGTGGCAGCAATCATTTGAGTAATGCCTCAAGGTTTCAGAGTAACCCTACACACAACATCAGTGACCTAATGCCCTCAACTGTATGGCATAGCATTACATTGAAAATAGTGGGTGTATGCATAATATGGTAACTTGTATACTTCTGAACAAATACCGGACTGGGGACAAGATGAGAGCTTCCCACCATGAAAGATACACCCTTATTAGCTATAAAGCTCACAAAAGTTCTTACTAACGGTTTTGCTTGTCAAACAAGCTCCCGGCCAGCAACCAACACACTTCAGCGTATACAAGTGCACCTATCCAGTCATTTCTAGTACACTAGTATGAAAATAAGATTTCATAGAAAACTTCTCATCAGAAATTCAATATTCACAAATCGTCTGAATAAATTAAAAAGCAGCTAAAATATTGACTAATCTTGCTCTGAAAGGCACTTTGTTTTGTGTAAGATGAATTGTCTACACCGAAGCTGTCTTAAGGTTTTGATATATTATACTGAAGTTATATGCAGAACTGTATATACTCTGAATGTATACTGATCTGCACATCATATAGAAATTTATATATATAGATATATATATATATATATATATAAAATTAAATATATATATATATATATATATTTTATATATTAGCTTTTAAACAGAACTGTATATGTAATTATACAGAACCCTATATGTGTGTTGGCTTTATACAGAGTTCAGTATAATCTGCCATACACTCAGTTTTATAATGTATTATACAGTAAACTGTATAACTTGTATCCAACTATAATGCCAACAGTCCTCAGCTGCTTGTCCTGCTATACACCTGTTTATAATACTCTTAAATATAATCATGAAACTAAACAGTATACGTTCCCCAATATACTCAGTCTTCTAAAAGACTTACTAGAATGCCTCTAAAAAGCCCATGCCGTAGTTGTCCCTATAACCTTGTCTTCATGAAGCTGGTCCCAACATGTATCAAAACTGTGGGCGTATTCTGTGGGTGTCCGAGGGATATCAGCGACAGCTTGTCTGTTTCACCTGTGGGCACCTTATACTCTTCAAATTAAAAGCACAGAATAATGCAATACGTCTGTATATTTAAATTGGAAGAAACCCTCTAAGAGCTATGTAATACCATGTTATCGAGTAAATGTAATGTCTGTGTGTTTGCATGGCGTGTGGAGCCGCATTCTCAATGTTTCTTCATTTTCTTGCTGAGGTATGAATCCGCATAGTGGCCACCGATACCCTGTGAGTGCTGCCCCACGTATCCGTTCTCTGGGCTGGGCTCTGGAGATGGCAGAATGTGGTTGGACTTCCGTTTCTGGCCGATAGGCGTGCTATACCCAGGGGGGCCAAAATTGTGTGGGGGTGGCCCCATGCTCTTGGCCGCAGTAAGGTACAGGGGATTGATAAGACGAGGATGGGGTAGTGCGGCAGGGTGCAGGATAGGTGCTTGGATAAGTGTTGGTGGGGGTGCCATGGGTGGGGGGGACCAGGTGGTAGTCACTCTGGAGGACACAGGTGATGCAAATAGGAATGCTGGGGCAGAAGATATAGGTGGTGGTGGAGGTGGTGGCTGCTCCATGGTAGGGGGTGCAAGGTGGGGAGGTTGTTCAATAGCTGGGGGTGCCAGGTGAGGGGAAAGGTAAGCTGGGGGATGATCAGGACGAAGAGGTCCTTCACCCAGAAGAGCAGCTTTGGGAGAATGGCCGGCTGCTGTAAGCAGCATGGACATCAGGGGATTTGTAGGATACATAGGTGGTGGGACGGAGGTGGTAATGTGGGTGTGGGGCAGCATGGTAGCAGCAGAGACCATTGGTGGGTGGCTAACGGCAACGGGCGGGGGCGGGGGTGGGGGAGCTTGATGCTGCTGCTGTTGCTCCATTGGAGTGAGGGATCCCAGCAGCTGCTGCAGACTGTGGGCGTTGGACAACAATGTAGAGATTGTTCCCTGCAAGTCATCCTTGCTTGCCTTGACGCTGTTAATACCAGGTAAACTGGTCAAAAGACCAGAAAGTAGAGGGGCCAAACCTCCCTCGCTCTCTCCCCCACCTCCCCCTGCGCCTCCTTCATCCCATGAACTTCCGCAGTAGTTCCCAGATGCTGGTGTCGGCAGCAATGGTGTCTGTAATAAAACATTATTAGTGTTATATAAATCACCATAGAAAATTATGAAAATGGTAAGTGATGCTGCTTACAGTTATTAAGAAAACTTATTCGACATTTATTATGTTCATTTTGAATTTGTTATACAGTGAATCAGCAACTTGATATTCAGTCTTTGTGACTGTATTGACTCGAGGAAAATATTGTAGTTAATAATTTAACTTGAAATAATTGCTAAGAGTCTCGTTTTACTCAACACATTGAAAGGATGTGTTAGTTTACAGTATTTTAAACAGGTGAAAAATAATTAATGTAGTTAGTATCAATGAAACCCCTACCTTGGTGGGTTTGACACCATTCTTGCTATAACCATTCCTATAATTGTTCTTGGTGGGGGTAGTGGCATTGTTGTTGGTGGTGGTGTTTTTTTTAATTTTTGT